GTCAAGCCATGGTTGTGAGTATTACATTGGCTTCTTTACAGTCAAGACATCGTTTGCTCTATCACTTGGGATCATTGTCTTGCTGGAAAATGAATCCCTGCCAAATTGATCGTGTTGTTGAAGAAATAGCATGATAGATTAAAAAGCTGCTTGCACTTGTCAACATTTACGGTGTCATTATTTTTGTGTAGATCACTGACATCGCAGTCTAAGATGTAACCCCAAACTTGTACTGATCCCTATCATACTTCACTATAAATGTTCATTGATTTCATTACTGTTTTCCTCGCCACCATTGAACAACCTGTCTTTGATTACTGCTAAACAATTTTGAACTTGAATTAATATGTAAAAAGCACATATTTTCAGTTTTTTTTTCTTTGTACTGTTTATAATCTAATGCCCATTTCAACTTTTTAATTTGGTTATCTATTCTCACCAGTGGTTTTCCAGCATTTAGACTAATGTGTATCTTACTGTTCTCGTGATAAAATTCACACTTTATTTACAGCAAGAACGCTGACAAGATCTGTACTCAACCTCGTTTATTTTGTAAAGAATAAAAGCTAATTTACTTAACTTCCCTTTTCTACTTTGATCAGTTCTGTTGTTAATAGTGTCAATTTAACAAACCTTTTTCAGAGTCTTGAATACAGCTTCTACTAATACATACAGTGTTGACAAACCAAATGTTTGATTTGTACGCACTTGTCATATAATATTTCAGTCTTGGGAATTATGACTGGAATCATACTGCTACTACTACTACTCTGTAATTTTAGAGGCTTTGTGTTCGTGTGTCACTTTGTGATTGGTTGGATGAAAAGCAGTCACAGTATAGCATTCTTGTTGTATTTGCCTTATATACTCCTTTCTCTCTACGTTTTCATGGTAATTTCAAATACTGCATGTCTGTTTGTTTGTCCATTTCAAAATTATATAGCATCAACGTTATTATTGTCAAACTAAGATCGTGATATTAATAGGTGTTACAGGTGTGTTATTGTCACATCGTACCAAGAAAGATTCTAACTCTTCTGTGAGATAATAAGCGAATTTTTATAATTTGAGACACAAAAACTGAAAAGTGGTTAAATGATAGTGTTGAGCTTTAAATAAACTATTGCCATGTTCTTTGAACCATAACTTAGATATTTAGTGACATTTACTAGAACAATTAACTAAAATTAATAGTTCAGCGATCTTTATGCAAAAGAGTCGGCTTCCTACATAATTAAATATCTACTCCTATTGTGTTACTGCAGTGGGTAAAGAAGCTATTCTCGGAGTGTCTCAGCAAGTGGACTGTGCATTGATATTTACATTAAGCTCACGAGGAACTAGCAGCTCATAAACAACAGTCCTGTACATGTCTCTTTAGAAATATGGCTTTAACATGTTCCTCTTTTATCTACCTTTCTTCATAGAAAAAGTCTTAGAGCAACATTCAATAATGATGAAATCAATGAATACTCAGATAAAACACAGTGCTTTTCTTATTGAAGACGTCATCAGGCAACATAATAAAGATCAAAGTGAATGGTCAGACAAAATGCAATGCTTTTTTTTTATTGAAGAAGTCATCAGACAGTACTCAATAATTATAAATAATGAATATTGAGATAAAACATTGATTTCTTTATTGAAGAAGTCATTTGGTAACACTTAATAACAAAGCATAGAAACAAAAGAGGATATTTGGCCTGTCAAGGCTGCCACTGCAAACCTACTCTTAAGAAAATTAAAAAAAAATTAAGTCCACCATTTATGTCTCAGAAAACCATCGATTCCCCTCTTAAAATGTTGAAAAGTGCTAGCCTTCACTATTACCAGCAACAACTCATTCCATAAGTCAGTCACCCTGTTAGAAAAACTAAACTGTGTTAACTGGAGCCTAGCTTTTCTTATACAAATCTTGAACTTATGTCCTCACATCCTGTTCTCTTTGGAAAACAGCGCAAAGAAATCAGAGGCCTTTATCTTGTTGATCCCCAGGATAAACTTGTAAACTTCGATAATATCACATATTATCATTCTTTGCTCAAGAGAAAATAATTGGAGATCTTAAACTAGCCTTATAAATCAAATCTTCCATCCCTGTTATCACTCTAGTAACCCTTCTCTGGACCCTTTCCAATAAGTTCATATACTTTCTTTTATAAGGAGACTAGAACTGCCCATGATATTTCAAATGAAGCCGAACTAGAGATCTGTATAGAGAGACAATTACCTCTTTTGACTTGTAATCAACATGTCTTGTAAGCTTTACCAGAGCACTGCTC